ACGGTTTCCTATTTGTTTTTTTAGTTTTCCAGCAATCCCGGCCAACCATCGACATTTTTGGAGGTTTTCTCCTATGTCCCGAAAAAAATAGAAAAGAAAAATTTGGAAATAATTCTTTCCGGTGTTGCCAGATTTCTGCAGTAGCTACTAAAAACCTATTTATTTAAATGGCAAGAACTTATTTTTTAACATAATTTGACAAACCTTCAAATTTTAAATAGAAAATGTTATGTCACATTTCTTTATTGGAGTAGCCGTTTTAGAACAATCGGCAAAAACAACGAAAATAATCTGTAGTCGGCATGAACTAAAAAAAGCTAACATATCAATAGTAGGTCTTGGAAATTAAACAAAAATTGTGTTGTTTGAAAAGAGCCATCATTATTGTGCTCCCATTGTATTGTTTGGCGGCGGTTTATTTGAATGTGTATAAAAATGTTTTAATTCAATTGCTAAGATGATTTTGAGCATTTTGCGGATCCTTGGACACAAGTTGTTTTTAGTTTTATTAAGTTATATCTTAAAAACACCAGATTTTGAAGAGACTTTTCGGGACGTCTTGCGTGGAATTCAACTCTCGCATTGTGTAAACCTAAGCTGCCAATATGAAGAAAAATTAATTCAACTTTCTCTTGTGGAGTAAATAACTGATTCATCTTAGCAACTGAATTAAAACATTTTTTATACACATTCAAATACAACAGCTGTCAAATAACACTGACAGTACAATAATGATGGCTCCTTTCAAACAACCCAATTTTTGTTTAATTTCCAAGACCTGCTATTGCTGTGTTAGCTTCTTTTAGTTCCTGCCAACTACAATTTATTCTCGTTGTTTTTGCTGATTGTTCTAAAACGACTACTCTAATAAAGAAATGTGATATAATATTTCCTATTTAAAATTTGAAGGTTTGTCAAATTATGTAAAAATAATACGTTGTTGCCATTTAAAGAAATATCGTTTTAGTAGCTACTGCAGAAATCTGGCAACACCGGAAAGAATTATTTGTAATTTTTTTTTAATCCCAAGTTATTTTCTACAACTTTGCATTTGGAAGTACTAGTCTATCACTTCAAATAAAAGAGTTGGCCTACGCAGGTTTTAAAAAAATAGCACTGTATTTACACAAAATCGTCTTTAAAGAAACGAACACCAATAATTATTTTTTTATTATTCAACTTATGTTGTATCAATGAAAAAAAATGGATGGTACACTGTTTTGTATCAATAAACAACTACAGAAAAATATTTTTTAGTATTTGTCTTGTATTTTTTCTAAAATTTTGCCGTG